AATGAATTTGTTCTAGGTGAACATATGCTATTATTTGATTTTGTTGTATGTGGACTTATTATTAGACTTTGCATTAAACATATTATATAATATATGAACATATGCAATTAGTAGTTGTCTACGGCCAAAACTAACCACGATCGTGTCATAGTCATGACTCATCGTCACCTGTTACCCTATCGCCGAAGAACAGATCGACAACAAGAAGCGGCTGATATCGCTGGGATGGGAGAGCCGCATGATCCGACAAACGATGATAGTGTCAATCAGGTCGATGAGAACGAGCAGCCATGGATCCCATCCGGCCTACTCGATCTGGGTCAAAATGACCAAGATGGCCAGGTAACTCTGGTATCATGTGACTATGTAGCCACACACACTAATCAATTGAGAGGGTCATAGCTTACTTGGTGTCTCTAGCAGGAGCCTCCGTCGACCGAGGAGGCAGAGGGTTCGGGTAGCAGGAAGGCTAGATCCAAGCGAGGCGTGTCAAAGATTCCTATTGGTAGGAATGCAGACTGACACATTACTGAGTTTGATGAATTCAAGGATCCACTCTCACCTCCTATAGCTTTGACCAAATACAAGACTATCCTCAGGTTACTTGTTAGGGACTTCATCCCGATTAAGTACAGGAAGTGGATTGGGAAATATGATGACCGGTGGAGGGTTCCCGAAAGCGAGAAGGATTACATATGGGATGTCAAGATCCCAGAGTATTTCACTTTCCTTGCCGAGTATGTCAGGGAGTTAGTCAAGAAAAAAGCAAAAGAAATCATGGGGACATGCTTCAAGAATTTCAAGGGGACATTGTACAAGAATTTTGTCCTCCAAAATAAAGAGCCTGATTTCTATGGTGGACAGTTTAGCAAGCAGAAGGACTTCTGACAGGATTTTAAGGAATACAGGTTATCCGAGGAGTACTTAGAACTGAGCACGAAGAATAAGGAGAATTTGTAGAAAGCGATGAATCCTCATCATCTCGGCTCTCGTGGCTATGCCAAAAAGATGCCAGAATTTGAAGCAGAACATCAAAAGATGGATCGCCTTACTGAGGAAGGCGTTCAGGTTGAGACCGCCGATTGGGAGCCCAGATCGGTATTATACTATATGGGGAGAAATGTACGGCACGTCGAGGACGGGAGCTTTAGCTCCTCAAATCAACCCATGAGCGAACTCATCCAGAGGATCTCCTAGATAATTGAGGAGGTGAGGCAAGGGACTCGCACTTCTAATAGGGAGAAAGATATGCTCACCCAAGCACTCAGAACCAAGGAGCACCCTGGTCGCACTAGAGGAATCGGTGTTGTTCCTTGGAAACTAGCATTCCCCCAAGAATCTAACACTTACCGGAGCCGCTCGAGGGGTAGAGCGGAACATGAGGCAGAGTATTTGAGGACACTAAAAGAGATGGAAGACAGAATGGAAGCACGGATTGAGGTGACCGTTGAAGCACGAGTCGAGCAAATTTTGCTATCCAAGGGGTCAGTAGTACCACAAAACCATACTCCTACTACCTTTAGCCCAAAGTTTAGGGGTCACAGCAGCTGCGGATCGACCCCACTCGACGAAGAAGAGGCGAATGTGCCTCATCCGGTGGACGACATCACTGAACCCGTCAATGTTAGGATGTACATCCGTCAGGAATGGACAAAGGACAAGTTGGCGCTCGGCCAGGCCTGGCCTGCGGGAGACGGGACAATTAATGGCCACCCAATTCCACTAGGGTACGCTTGCATCACCATTGACAGAATACTTGATAAGAAGTATAACAAGATACCCATTGAGTACCCTGTAGCGGAAGACCGGCCAAAACTTGATCAAAACAAGGGCTCTCAAGGGGCCTGGTGCAAGCGCTTCATTAAGCTTGACCATCAATTATGTTCTAATGATGAGGACAAATGCGAGTCTTTGCCCACCCGCGATGATCACTCACCATCTCCCAATAGAGATCACTCCCCTCCTCATCCAGAGCCATCACCCCCGAGAAGACAGAGGTCTCCTTCTATTCCTCCTCATCCGACTCCATCTTCATCAGTCCCGAGAAAGGAGACTCCTCCTCCTCCTCCATCTTCATCAGCGTCGGGAAAATAGAATTCTCGTCGTCATCCTCCTCCTCCACCTCAGCCCAAAACAAGATCAAGGACATCCTCGTAGTCGTAGAAAAGGTCCTTAGATTCGATCGCTAATGCTCCCAAAGTGGACCAACAAAAAAGAAAAAGGCCGTTCAGTGGCAGCGTTACCACCTTGATGAAAGAAAAATTTACAGCACATATCTCGAAGGAAGATTGTGTTAGTTTCTTTAATCTCTGTGCCTCACTGCCTTCATTTTTGTTGAAGTCTGAATTTGAAAGGCAAACAAAGAATAAATACACTGCAACAAGAGACGAAGAAATACACAATAAAGATTTAAGGAACACACAGAAGTACGTCGAAGATAACCCAGGATTAATCATGGAAGAGGCCGCGACCATCTATTATGATGTACAAGGGATGGCAACACCGGCAATGAAGTATGAAAGGGACAATCTTTTGGTTCCCAATCATGAGTATAAAAATCTAACAACATATATGCGCCAGTTACATGAATATTACATGGCTCAAGCAACAGAGACGGACGACTTTGGTTTTGAGGTTATTATCCGTTTGCCACATGTTTTCCATTATCCTGAAGAAGAGAAGTTCGATGTCGAGTGGGAGTGCTTGTTCCAGCTATACCGGAAATGCTCTCTCGATGTTCAAATGTTGACGCTCTGGACTATGTAAGTACCTGCACGCACGATTTTACAATTAACTACTCTCTCGAGATACAAATTGTTAACTTTTGAGCACTTCCCATGATTTTATATAGGTGTATAGCAAAATTTTGCATTCTAAAAAGCAAATAAGATTACATAGGCTTCTTGGACCCCATGCGAGTCAATTAGAGGACATGTCTAGGCCTCTATGGATGTGATGTGGAAGACCTGAAACAGAGATTGATTGCTGTTTTCGACGAATTCACGATGAAGAAGAAAACCCACATACTTCTAGCCTACAACTGCGAGTATGTGTTCTCGGCTTTTAATTTTATGCTTCTTTTTTCATTAAGATTATTCGATAATTAGGATTCTATGATTGCAACAACCATTTTGTCTTTATTTGTGTTAATCTTGTCAAAAATCTGCTCGAGGTGTGGGACTCAAAGAAAAAAAATCATTTCATCATCTGGATGCACTTGTGGCAGTGCTGAATTAGTAAGCGATCCTAATAATATATTATTTTCTAATCACACATACTGCTTTCTAATGTTTCTCCTTTTAATGTTGCTCAGTGTCCGAAGAAGACATATCGGTGGGACGCCTGTCCCATTCAAGGTTGTCGAAATGGAAGGAAAGTACATATCATAGCCAGCGGGAAACAATGAATACGAGTTTTATGTAATGTGGGCAATGCTTCGCTACATCGGCGGGAAATCAGAAGAAGCCGATAAGTTGGTGTGTATAATCCCCATTTCATTTATGTCTGTTAATAATTCAACTAAATGATTTACTGTTTCTCTTTGGATATCATCTTTTTTGAACGATAGTGCAAGAAATATAACCACGAAATGCTGTTAGACATGGAGATCATCGCACTGCAATCGAAGCTGGTAAAATTCATCTTAGCCGAGGTATTGGAAAAAGATGGAGTATTTTCCATTGCACAATCCATGAAGTACAAGGACCAGTATGGCCCAGAGCGGCTCGCCAGATTATTGTAAGAAGTCCGAGAAGCATGTGTGAAGTCCAAGAACATTTCTTTTTTATTTTTAGGGATCGAGATGTGGATAAGAACATTTGAATTGTAATCGTAACATTTGTAATGTTTAATATTGATGGACTTCTCGTCTACGTAGCGTATATAAAGCGAAACCCGATTCCACGGAAAAATATAAATTAAAATAAATTATAAAACAATAAAATACGAACGGGTCATCACCACCGGTTAGCAACAAACCGGCAGTGTTGTCGTAACCATCAGTGCCGATTAGAAACAAACCAACAGTGTTGGCTTGCTCAACACTGCCGGCTTGAACCATGAACTGACACTAATAGTTACAACAACACTGCCGGTTTGATCCATGAACCGACACTGATATTTACTACAACACTGCCGGTTTGATCCATAAACCGACAGTGTAGGCTTGCTCAACACTGCTGGTTTGAGCCAAGAACCGTCACTCTTGAAGCAACCGTCACTGTCGGTTGGCACTATAAACCGACAGTGTTGTTCAACTGGACACTGCCGGGTGGAGCCAGGAACCGACACCGTTTCCCGTATATCAGTGTCAGTTTTTAAGGACCGATAGTGATGTCAACCCCCCATCACTGCCGGTATGCCACTGTCGGTTCAAAATCCGGCAGTGAAGTTGGTTTTTGAACCGGCAGTGATGTCCAGATCTGGGGTAATGGACGGTTCTTTCTGCAAAAGTGGCGTTACCAGATGTCTCTCCTGCATTGGTTTGTACGTTTATTTTGCAGACCAATACGTATAGTTCTTTTGCTTTGCTTGTGTACGTCTCATCTTTTTGTGGGTTTCCGCATCCTGCTTTCTTTAATCGGCATGTCATTGCATGCAAATTAAAGCTGGCACAGGCCATAGGCTCTCCATGATTGGCAGTTTGTATTAGCAACTGGAGCGGCGGCCCGCATGCATTCCTTAAAAATTATGGGATCCTAATTGTCGTAAACTAGGCAAACAAACAATATTTTACTTTAAATTTATTTGGTGCTTCAGGACCTTTATTTACTACCCCACAGGGCAGAGATCAAATCGAATCTAGCGTGTCGAGTGCTCGTCATGAATCATGATGTTGGGAGAAAAAGCGAAAGTTAACCAGATACAGTACCGCCAGATATGGTAATTAACAAGACTCCCAACGGAGCTGGGCATGCACTCCTCAGAGCAAGACAAACACACACGCTCCTCTGAGACAAACATCCAATTCCTCAAGAGCAACACACCCACACGCAGCCTCCATGAGCATGGAGCCTCGCTCCAAGCAAGAAGATAGCGGAGTGGTAAACATTACGAGGGCAATAGAGGCTTTGTCCCCTTGGTTGAACAACCCAAGGAGGACGATCTTCAAGGTGGAAGTGCTGGTGCTATTGGCTGCTGCGCTGCTGCTTGTCCAGCTTATCTTGGGCTACTGCAGGCGGCGATGGCACAATAATTGCTTCATCAAATATGGCCTGCAGGTGCCTTGCAAACTTATGAACCCTCTCATCATCTACACCTTGGGCACGATGCAGTCCTCACCAATCAAGAATTCGTCGTATCCCGTCTGGGCTGGTTTTCTCATCATGGCTTCAGCAGGCACCACCGCCGTCCGGCAATATGATTTCTGTGGCAGCTTTTTGAACAAGTCTATGCAGGTTATGGGCGAGTGCTTCCTGGATGGCTTTTACTTATTGATGTTCGCCGTGCTACTGGATCCAAATACGTATAAATCAGCCTGGGACCCACAGGTGTCTGGGACTTTAAAGGAATCCACAGCAAGTTCAAATGGTGTCTTAGAACTTGTTCTGGTTGTTACATGCACAAAGTTCTTTGTATCCCTTTGGTTAGTAGCCTTTGCATACAAATACAACATAAAGCAGGGTACTCTTTTAGACATGATCGGTCGCACAATACATGCAGTGAGCAGGGAGGAAACTACTGCGAATGATGCTGCGAGTGACTCTTGCCCTCAGAGCATGAAGGGGTACAAATATGAAGTTTGTTATCGTCTGTTTGGAGGTGGATCCATTACCATTGACCAGATATGGGATTCTTGTGGCAACTCAGCTCATGATGGCAATGCATTGAAAGATATGTGCCTATCCTATGCCTTGTCCCAGAGGCTACTGAGGCAGCAATATTTTGGGCGCAAGGTGTATCACCTAAAAGACCATGATTTTGTCTTCAAAAAATTGTTGCATTCTCAAATGGATTTCAAAAGAGCCTTCAGAATTATTGAGGTAGAGTTGGGATTCTGCTACGATTTCTTCTTCACAAAGTACTATTTTACCTTCTTCTGGTCGAATCTATTGCCGGTGCCATTAATTCAATGTTTGATTCTATTCAAGATCTATCTAATTTTGAGGGTTGGAGTGTTTGCAATCACAAAATCACTGGTTCTTGAGACGCCAAATCCTATCATAGAAGTAGGCATTTCAGAAGCTGATTACATCATCACTATACTAGTTGTCGTTATAGCCCTCCTAGTGGATCTAGTGCATGAAGTGTTTTACCTGGCTTCGAATTGGGCCAGGGTATCACTGGCCTGCATGCATGTCAGGAAATATTGTTATGAATCCAATGCATTTATATTTATTTTTGGAAAAGTCATTGGCTTTGTTAGAAGGGTTACGCTTTCAGCAGCGTTGAGAAATAAGATTCACCAGTACTCATTTATTTTTGGATGGAAGCCGCAGCCAGACCCTGTAGAGGTTTCTGATGCAGTGAAAGAAGCTATTGCTACGTCGCTCATATCAACTTATGGAAGTAACCTAGCTACTAGTGGAGAAACATCAGTAAGGCTGCTGCAGAACCAAATGTCTGATCAGTATTCTTGGGCACTCAAGGATCTCTGTCAGCTGGAAGTCATGTTGATCTGGCACATTGCAACTGAATACTGCGGTATTTCTGATGATCCTAGTAATGAGAACGGGACTAATCCAGGAAGTAATCACCGAGGTGCACATTTGTTTGAATATGTGCTACAACTGCTTCGTCCAGACTCTAGAAGAAACTGGATTGCTCAAGATAGTCATCGAGGCGTTGCAGTTCATTTGTCTCGATACTGTGCATACATGATTGGATCTGTCCCAGAACTGCTTCCATACCACGAGGCGGATATAGCAGAGTTGGCAGATGAGGTGATGGATTATCGTAGGAAGCTTTCCGGATTCTTCTATAGACTTCCTGAGATTTACAGTAAAATGAAGAATTTAGAAGGCACACAAGAGGAAGATGACCCTAGGACAATGTTCCAAAAAGGCGTGAAACTCGGTAAGCAGCTGGAGAGGATGCCGGATAGGGATCGCTGGGAGGTGCTAGAAGATTTCTGGCCCAAGATGATCATCCATGCCGCTGCCTCGCACTACACTGCCAAGCAACACATGCAGCATCTTGAAAATGGCGGGGAGTTCCTCACCCATATCTGGGCTCTGCTTGCTCATGCAGGCATTCTGAACATTAATAGGAACAAGGATCAGGAGGACCGAGCTAATCCAGGCTCTGGCCACTCAGCTGCTACATGATATATATTTTCAAGTCAATGGCGGAACATCCTTCACCACCTACCTTTTCGCCACAAGTTTGTTGTTAGTCGTTTGTGATTTCTCATCAGTATTTTTCCCAAAATGGCAGTGCTCTTGTGTTGTGTACTTGTGTTGGCCTTTCTTATGTTTGTTGTACGAATGATGGTGTATTTTTCCAAAATGGCAGTGCCCATGTGTTGCATTGGCCTTTCTTATGTTTGTTGTATGAATAATGATGATGGTGTATCTTTTTTTCCAAAATAGAATTATTTGTGTGTTGGCCTTTCTTATGTTTGTAGCATGATAAGCTTTTGAATCCCCAACTTGTCCTTCCTGCACCGCACCTGGACACGCACCGCCTCCCGCACCACACCAATGCTATTCCGGCACCAACAAATCACTAGTCCTGCTGGTGCCTCACAGATCAACGCCCATGGCCGACTGATCTACTACTTCCCCAAATCTCTGATGAGGATATGAAACCTACAGATTGGATACGCCCATCAAAGTTAAACACAACATGGGCTCGTTTCTTTGTTTGCATAACGACATAAGTAATTAAGAATTTGTTGCTACCTAATGTAGGCAATTTCAATATGTTTAGGGAACAATTTGATGATCGAATCGTGGACAGACTTCTTACATGGCCTCTATAACACATAGGAAGTGGATGCACCTCAACACCCATCTTGGGGGTGCAAGACCATCAACGCAGAACATTCGGTTCGTCGACAGCCCGACAATACTTCATTAGGAAGACCATAACGCATCCATCCGGAGTGCGATTGAGGCCAATAAGTACTTGATGGAAAGCTTGTTTGATAAGCTTTCACATAGATCTAGTCCCTCCTCAATATCACATCGGTAAGGCCTTCAAATCATCACGACAAACTGCTGTTGTTTCTCATGGTGCTGCGGCATCGTCTTAAGCTTGACATTCACCCTTGGGACCTTGGCCCAAGTTGGAGCATGCCACAATCATGTCGAGAACACCTCAAAAACGTTTGATGAGTATTCTTGGGCACTCAAGAATCTCTCTCATCTAGAAGTCATGTTAATCTGGCACATCGCAACTGAATATTGCGATGCAATTCCTGATGACGATCGTAGTGATGGGAATGGGACTGCTCCAAGAAGTAATCACCTAGTTGCACAGTTGTTTGGATATGTTCTACAACTGCTTCGCCCAAATCCCAGAAGAAACAGTATTGCTCGAGATGGTCATCGTGGCGTTGCGGTTCACCTGTCCAGATACTGTGCTTACTTGATTCGATCTCTCCCAGAACTGCTTCCATACCACAAGGCGGACATAGTAGAGGTTGCACAGGAGGTGATGGAAGAACGTAAGGAGCTTTATGGATCCGACTACAGTCTTGCTTTGATTTACAATAGGATGACGCAAGAGGAAGAAGATGATGACCCTAGGAAGATGTTCCAAAAAGGCGTGAAGCTCTGTAAGCAGCCGGTGAGGACGCAGGATGGGGATCGTCGCTGGGAGGTGCTGAAAGATTTCTGGGCAGAAACGATCATCCATGTCGCGGCTTCACACTACACTGCCAAGCAGCACATGCAGCACCTTGAAAACGGCGGGGAGTTCCTCACCCATATTTAGGCTCTGCTTTGTCATGCTGGCATTCTGAACCTTAACATGGGAGAGAATCAGGAGGACCAGGGTAATCCAGGTTCTGGCACCTCAGCTGCTGCTTGATAGATTGATCAAGTCAAGTCAATGGCGGAACGACCTTCACTGCTTCCCTTTTGTTTTGCCACAAATTTGTTATTAGTAGTTTGCGATTTCCAATCCATCAATATTTTTCCAAAATGGCTGTGCTCCTGTGTTGTGTTGGCCTTTCTTATTTTCGTTGCACGAATGATGATGGTGTATTTTTTCCAAAATGGTAGTGCTCATGTGTTGGCCTTTCTTATGTTTGTTGAACGAATGATTGTGTATTTTTTTCCAAAATGGTAGTGGTCGTGTGTTGGCCTTTCTTATGTTTGTTGTATGCAGGAAATAGTGGATACTATTTGTCTGCCATGCATGCTAGGGTCTCATTGTGCTTGCAATATGTATTCATATTGTACCTTTTGTTTCACAACTACTTGTATAAGAAGAAATGGTTAAATGGTTTGACCATCAGAAAAGTGGTTTGGCTTGGCCATCAGAAAATTAATACTTGTCCAGCAGTGAGTTCGCAGACCGACGACACAGATTTCTGCAATACTAGCCTGATCACTTTAGATTGAAGCCACAGCCGCTACAGTTTTTTTCCCCCCCCAATTCAATCTACAGTTTTTTGTAGTATTGAAACTCGCATTCTTTGTGTGCGAAAACCCACAGAAAAATGCGAATACCATCAGAAAAATATTTTTCTGACGATGTACCCTCAGAAAAATACACATAGAAATATAATGACAGAAAAATTCAATTGTTCTGTGTGTTCGCCGTCAGAAACAATTTTTCTGTGGGTGTTACACGCACAGAAAAATTGCGTTAACCCAAATTAAATTTAAATGTTGTGTGCGTTAATACTCACAGAAAAAAGGAAAACCCGACAGAAAAATGATTTTTCTGTCGATGTTGTCCCGATAGAGTCGTAGAGGTACACTCATAGGAAAATTTTTATTTTTCTATCGGTCTCGGTTAACGCACAAAAAAATAACAGACCACTGACAGAAAAAACACTTGACCATGCAGCAAATTGGATACAATTATTATATAGAAACAGAACAGTAGCAACAACATATTAAATATGGACTGTCCATACTATAATTTCATTACAGCATAATAGATAGCATATATATAAAGATCCAAATGTTCAGCATATTCATTAATGCCATCCGGGCTACATATAGATGATGTCCAAATGGTTCGGCATCAATATATTCAAAAGCATTACCATCTCATCTCAGCAGTTCAAGTCAGTCAAGATGAGTAAAGTACCAGCATGCATCATTGAGTCATATTATAGCTAAAACTAAAGCTAACAGATTAGAGCCACCTACTAGTTAATGTGCAAAAGCACAACTCTACAAAAGAAGAAACCACCATCACATCCATGTTTTGCAACTAAACACAACCATCACATTATCGATTGCATGATCGCCATTGTTGTCGGAACCTTGATTGTTGTCAACGTTTGCAGCATGAAGATCCCCATTGGTGTGGCCAACATCATTACCATTGTTGGCAGATTCTGAGGCAGCATGAGAAGACCCAGTTGCCTGGATGTGAACAAAGTTACAGTGAGTGGAATTGTCTCCCAATAATATAACACTTTTAGCAAAGCCTCTAAATTGGACAAGGTTACAACAGTATGTGGAATTGGACAAGGTTTAAAGTATTCAAATTGCTGATTTTCAAGGTGTGAAACATTACAAACCAACATAAGGCCACTTCCTCACTGCAATAGCCGTGCAAATTCAGTGCAGTAGCTATACAACAATCAACATGAGGCCACTTCCTCACTGCTGCACTATGTGTTGACATTCTGAATAGTACCCCATAAAATACTAATCAGTTTCTACTTCCTTTCCATATTAAAATCTCTAAGTGATGGATCTGACAGCTACAAAACATGTTGACAGTGGAATGAAGATATACTCACAATTGCTTGCGTAGCGGACAAGTGTCGTAACGCTTCTTCTGGTACAACCCTTCCTATCTCCTGGTAAAGGTTTTACATGTGTATTGCAAGCACAGATATTTTAGATTCAAATCATTAGATATTTCACATATAATATTGGTGAATTATTTACAATAGCATTGCACATACCAGTACTAAGCGGACAAGAACTTTGTTTTGCTGCGGTGCGTTGTCCTTTTCACGATTCTCACGTCCCAGCCTTCCATTTGCACGACATAGCTCTTCCATTTCTCGAGACATGTTTTGCATAGTCACTGAATTTGATAGACGCACACTTCTTTCCCTTTCGGCTGCCCTAACATCTGAAGACTTAACCACACCATTTTCTATGGCAAGACGCCCATGCTTTCTCGGGGCACCACTAGACACATCATATAGCGCCTTTCCATTCAAATATAGTTGTTGCTCAACCTCATCCCATCCACTTCCATGTCTGCACCGTCTCCATCCTCTCCGTTTGCACATTCTATCCTCTTAACAGCAGCAAGGTAGTCATCCTACAAAGACTAGAACAAGGAAACATGTTCTACAGATTTACAGATGGCCAAAACGTGGTAACGTTGTATTCTGAAATTTCTGGACAGCAGCAAGAAAGTCATGTGCGTGTGTATGTTTTTCTGTGCGTTTATAAAAGAACCGACACAATAATACCAATTTTTCTATGCGTGTATATATTTTTTCTATGAGGATTTAAAGAACCGACACAATAATTTCAAATTTTTTGTGAGTGTTTATTTTTTCCATGTGTTTGCTCTCACGCACAGAAAAATCATATAATTATTCTGTGGGTTTTTGTATTTTTCTATCGGGATATTTTGAAACCAACAGAAAATTCATCATTTTTCTATGCGTGCCGAAAAAAACACACAGAAAAATTGGTCACCCACAGAGCAATTCAAGTTTCGAGTAGCGTGGGCATTCTTCGAGCACTGCGCAAGTCTGCGTGAGAGTCTAAACCGTCAATCAAACACAAGCTTGTATGTATCTCAGGCTCCTGCACTGGCTGTAGGTTGATTTTTCAGACCAACGCGTAGTTCTTTGTTTGTCTGTCTACGTCTCATCTTTTTGCGTTAACTGCACCCGGATTGCTTTACTACCGCGGAGACCTTCATGTGATTGCGACTGCAAAATAGGCACTTGCAAGTTCGATCACCACGATTAGCAATTTGTAGGGACAGCTCTAATAGTGACTTATGAGCTAGCTTTACGCATATTATTTCATTTTATTACAAAAGAAAAAAATATCTTTTAATGAAAAGCTAGTCTTATACACATATTCCAAGCTATATGCTAAAAGTTATAATATTATTGAGGGCACCCACTGTAGTATGAGCTACTCCCTCCAGGCAGCTTTGTAGGGCGTGGCAACAAAAACGAGACGCGGGTCACCTCGACTACCGCTGGACACTAGGCAATAGCCACTGGGCAGTCCGCCAAAGTTAACTATGCATGGCGCCATGCATGAAAATCAAGCTCCAGTTAATCGACAACAACAAGTGGCATGCACGCTCTAACAGGTTTTACTCCCTTTGGCCATGCACGCTCTCTTTCCTTGGTATCCGAGATTTTCCTTTCACGCCTAACAAACCTGCCCGGAGGGGAGTAGTTATTAACTCTAAGACAACCTCTACAGTAATACTCCGTCCATACTGGTAATTAAAGTCGTTTTGACATGATTTAGCATACCAAAGAGTGATTAATTAGGGTATAGTTTTCCCTGTAATTAAAGTCGTTTTGGACATGATTGGGCACCATGCGGTGCTCCCCAATCAAGAACTCGTTGTATCCTGTCTGGGCTACTGTTCTCATCATGGCATCGGCGGGCACGAGCTCCTTCCGGCAATATGACTTCTATGTCAGCTTTGACAACAAGTACATGCAGGTTGTTGCTGAGTATGCTCAGGATGCTTTCTACGCTTTTATGGTAGCTCTGCTGATGGATCCAAATACTTACACCTGGAAGACAGCCTGGGATCTAAAGCGGCGTCTCAAGAGTTCCAGGCCAAGCTCAAGGTGTGTCGCCGCTCTTATTTGTGTCGTTCTAGCGACAAAGTCGATCGATTGGATCCATTTCTCTAGTAATTCTAGGATACAAGAATTGAACAAACCGAGACCTTTCATCAAAAAGATGCTGAGCCATTGTCGCACACAAGCTGCAGAGAGGAGGACGGAGGAATGCGACCCTGACCCTCAGAGCATGAAGGGCTACACTTATGCAGTTTTATGATTATCTGTGTTGACTCATTACCATTGACCAGATATGGGATTGTTGTGGCAGCTCAGCTGATGATGGCAATGCACTGAAAGACCTGTGCCTATCCTGTGCCTTGTTTCGGCGGCTCGAGGGACAACGCTATTTCGGGGAATTGGAACCCGAAACCGGCCATGTTAACAAAGACCACGATCTTGTTTTCAAGAACTTGTTGAAATCTGAAAGGGATTTCAAAAGAGCATTCAGAATCATTGAGGTAGAGTTATGTTTTTGCTATGATTTCTTCTTCACAAAGTACCACTTTACCTTCGTATGGATGAATTTACCAGTGCCATTCATTCAATCCCTGATTTTACTCAAGATGATTCTAATCTCAATTGTTGGAGTGCTTACCATTAGGAAATCACTGGTTCTTTAGACACCAAAACCTATTATAGAAGTACACATTTCAAAAGTTGATTACACCATTACTCTACTAGTTCTCTTATTTGGCTTCATAGTGGAACTAGGGCAAGCAGCGGTTTATCTGGCTTCAAACTGGGCCCAGGTCTCACTAGCCTGCATGTAGATGTCGAGAAATATTGGTGTGATCAACCCAATGCATTTGTTATTGGCAAAGTCATTGGTATCCTCAGAAGGTATATGATCTCTGGGGCATTGAGAAATAAAATTAACAAGCACTCGGTTATTTTCCAATGGAAACAGCAGCAGCCAGACCCAGTGGTGGTTTCTAATGCAGTGAAGATAGCTGTTGCTAGATTGCTCATATCAACTCATGGCAACAGCGACCTAACTACCGACGGAGAAACATCAGCCGTAAGCAGCAGGCAGAAGCAAATGTTTATTGACGAGCATTACTCTTGGGCACTCAAGGACCTCTCTCAGCTGGAAGTCATGTTAGTCTGGCACGTTGCAACCGAATACTGTGATGCGATTCCTGATGATCCTAGCAGTGGTAGTCATCGAGGTGAAGCAACACACTTGTGTGGATATGTGCTACAACTGCTTTGTTGTCCAAACCGTAGAAATGGGATCATTACTCGAGATGGTCACCGAGGCGTTGCAGTTCATCTGTCCAGATATTGCACATACCTGATTCGGTATATGTCCCGGAACTGCTTCCGTACCACGAGGTGGATGTACCAGAAGCTGGCACAAAAGGTGATGAAAGAAGCACAGAAGGTGAAGGAAGAACATGAGGGACTTTTCGGATCCTACAACTATACACTTCCTGATATTTACAATAGATTGAAGAATTTACAAGGCACAGAAGAGGAAGATGACCCTAGGATGATGTTCGATAAGGGCGTGAAGCTTGGTAAGCAGGTGGAGAGACTGCCGGATGGAATCGCTGGGAGGTGCTTGAAGATTTCTGGGCCAAGACTATCATCCATGCGGCTGCCACGCACTACACCACCAAGAAACATATGCAGCATCTTGAAAAAGGTGGTGAGTTCCTCACACATATCTGGGCTCTGCTTTCTCATGCTGGCATTCCAAACTTTAACAAGCCAGGGTAATCTAGGCTCTGGCCCCTCAGCTGCTGCATATAAAGTCGGTCAATGGCGGAACAGCCTTCACTGCCTCCTTTTTGGCCACAAGTTCCTTACTTGTTAGTTTGCGATTTCCCATCCATCAGTATTTTTTGTCTCCAAAAAGAAATGCCAGTGTTCGTGTGTTGGCCTTTTTGTTAGCAAATATGTCCGTGCGGTGGAACCGGCACTACTGGAGGCCGCGGCTTTGCCGAGTGTTTTTACACTCGGCAAAGAGCCCTTTACACTCGGCAAAGGCTTTGTCGAGTGTAGCACTCGACAAAGTCCGCTCGGCAAAATTTTTCTCGGCAAAGGGTCTTTGCCGAGTGCTTTTTATCCGGGCACTCGGCAAAATAAAAAAAAATGCCGAGTGCTTGGGGCGGCACTCGGCAAAGATTTACACTTGGCAAAATAAAAATGCGAAAAAACCAAAAATAATAGCAAAAATTTTTCGGGGGAGGCCGCCACCGGCCAGCGCCCGCCCGTCTTCATCGAAGTCGGTGCAATTTTTGCGCTAAATTCGCGGCTAACGCGGCTGGCGGGATTCGAACTCATGACCTCTCCCTCACGTGTCTGCTGCTGTACCATTGCACTACACTGTCACTTAGTCTAGATTCCATTATCTATCCTCATATATTATACTAAATCGAGAGTAAATTGCCTATTTGAGGCTCTAACGGAATTCAAATCAAAAAGTGATCGACTGCAATGTTTCATAACTTTTCAAGATCTACAATTTTTATTTAGGAAGTTTTCCATCCGAGGTCGTTTGAAAAATTCAAATTTTAAATTTGAAAGATTCAAATATAGTTTTCCATGATAAGATGATTTCAAATCAAAAAGTTGTCAACTACATAGTTTCATAACTTTTGAAGATCTACAATTTTCATTTATGAAGTTTTTCCATCCGAGGTCTTTTGAAAAATTGAAATTTTCAAATTTTCAAATTCAAACGTCGTTTTTGCATGACAAGATGATTTCAAATCAAAATATTATCAACTACAAAATTTCATAACTTCTCACGATCTACAAAGTTTATTTTGGTCATTTGTTCATCCGACATAGTGGTAGTAACATTGTTCACAAATCTTATATATCTCTCTTCTACTTTCATGAAACTAATATGAGAGATGTAGATTTTATGAACAACGTTATTGTCGATTTGTCAAATGAAAAAATGACCAAAATAAACTTTGTAGATCTTGAGAAGTTATACAACTTTGTAATTGAAAAGTTTTTCATTTGAATTCATTTAGGGCCTCAAAAATTACTTTGAAAAACTGATTTGTCGAGGGCCAAAAAAAATGCACACGGCAAAATGCCTCTTTGCCGAGTGCCAAAACAAAGACACTCGGCAAAATACATCTTTGCCGAGTGCTAGAAAAAAGGCACTCTGCAAAGACGCATTTTGCGGTGTGCCGAAAAATAGCACTTGGCAAAATACATCTTCGCCGAGTGCCAGAAAAAGGCACTCGGCAAAGACGTATTTTGCCGTGTGCTGAAAAATAGCACTCGGCAAAATACATCTTTGCCGAGTGCCAGAAAAAAGGCACTCAGCAAAGACGCATTTTGCCGAGTGTTTATTTTTTTTTGCAGAGTGTATTTTATTTGGTGCTCGGCAAAGACCATCTTTGCCGAGTGTCCGATAAAATACACTCGGCAAAGCCTCCGGCACTCGGCAAAGTGCCGGTTTCCGGTAGTGCGGAAAGACAAAAACACAA